CAGCGCCAGGGGACCCCACTTCACCTTGGACGCGGATGCTGAACTTGCAGCTGGCTCGGTTGTAGGCCTGGTCGTGGGCGGTGTAGCGGATCACGTGCTCTCCTTCAGGGAATTCGGAGCCGGGCTCCGGGCCCCGCAGCATCACCCTGCACCCAGCAGATGGGTTTCTCCATCAGGGCCCCCGTGAGGGGGCACCCAGCCTGGTCCCCAGCCCTCGCCGGTGGTGCCCATGGCGCCTCTGCCCTCACCTCTTGATGACGCCGTCGGCGGAGTCCTTCACGCGGGGGGGGTCCCAGTAGACGATGGCGGTCAGCTTGCCCGGCTCGGCTATCCGCTCCCGGGAGTCTGGGCAGCGGATCTTGGGAGGCTCCATATCTGCCCGCAGGGAGGAGAAGGAATCGGGGAACCTGCGGGAGCTGGGCAACCGGCCCCGGTGCTCAGTGACCCCAGGGATGCTGTGCACAGCCCAGGCACCCTGGCGCCAGCAAGACCTGCTGTAATGCCAGCGCTGAGCCCCCCGACCAACGTGCCCTGCGCCGGCCCGTGCTTCGGGGCTAACGGCACCCGGGGAGCGGCCGGGAAACGAGTCCCAGGGCTGGGAGGTGTGGGAGGGTGACCGGGTCAGGCGTGGGGGGTGACACCTGCAGGCACCCCAGGGGTGGAGGGTGGCCCGCCCTTGCATGCCCCAGCAGCGTGGGGCTGGAAGGGCGGTAGGGTGAGAATTTACCTACACAGACTGGCTCGCTCCCGCTCCGGCGCCCATCCTCCATGCAGATGCGGCTCCGGTCACCCTCCAGCTGGTAGCCGGGCAGGCAGGGGTAGTCGCAGCGGGGATTCATCTGCACGCCGGCTGAGCACGTGTAGGAGCCCCGCAGCCCCGCCGGCAGCACGTGGCACCGGATTTCTGGAGAGAGCAAGGAGGGGAGGGAAGTGGCTGCCTGGCCATGCTATGGGCAGAGCACCCAGGACTGGCCACCCCCGGTGCCTGCAGGGGTGCTGGCAAGCCGATGGCCCAGGCACACTCACGTCGGCAGGACGCCATCCCGGACCAGTGGCGGCTGGGCAGGCACTGGACGGCGCTGGGCCCCCCCAGCCGGTACCCACGGGCGCAGCTCAGCTCGCAGCGTGTCCCCAGGCTGCTGCGGTAGGAGCCCCCCCGGGGCGAGTAGCAAGTGGCCTCTCCACGGTGGATGTTGAGCGTGGCGCACCACTGGGGCACTGGGGGGGAGGAGGAAGGTGAGGGGAGCACCCGGCCCTGCTGTGCCTCGGTTTCCCCATGAGGACCTGAGGGATGGCTCGGGTGCCATTACCTCGGTGGTAGTCCAGGGCAGGCTCGGGGGGGGGTTCTTCCAAG